ACCTTTGGAACATCACCCGCTGACAACATCACGCAGGGAACCAGTCTAGTCATATTCAAGAGAAATCAAGCTGCTTCCCGTCGCTTTGATGTAATGTGTTGATTTCTTGGCTCAGTCTGTTGTTGAATTTTACTCGCTGTGCAGTAAACAATTCAAGAGCGTCGAGCTTAAGAGGCGTCGGTATTATGCTTTTGTGAGGGAAAACAACAGACAAATATCGGCACAATGAGTGCACCCTGAAGGTTTTGAGAAACTTAAGCCAGAAAGGGTGCTGGTTCAAACGCGTCAAAAAAATTAGAAAATGCGTATTTCTCGTGGCACCGAGAAAGCGTACCACAAAGAGACGGACCACAGGTACATATACAAAATTCCTAAGTATTCAGAACTCTCGATGGTCGGGAGTAATGTAGAGATATGATGGGATGGTTTTGAAAAATCTTCCGTCGGAGATCAGACTGTCATTTGCCACTAATTCAAGAGCATTTCCGGCTATATCGTTACGGTGCATATCGGGGACCATAATGGCGGTAGGCTCATGAAAGAGGAAAAAAGCGGAGGAGCTTTATTAGTTTGGCTAAGGTAGTACGAGAGGCTACTTCACCAAACCCTTCCAGTTTGGTGACAAAAGAAACTCGACGCTAATCAGAAACTGCAGAGTTCCTCGGGGAGCTTTTCTGTCTCCATTTCAACTTTTCGTTAGCGTTGGCTTATCAGCTGCCTCTGCAGAAGTGGTCCAACTGGTGCATGCGGATGACGAGATCCTCGGTGGCAATCATCAGATCACAAGCTTTTCAGCTGTTAGGAATTCCTATGAATATACTCAATATGGTACAAGTCTCGTTATATGGTCGTGAATGAACAAAGTGCAACAAACGTTTCTAGTAGTTCCCACCCCTCGAAGACTATTTCCAGTTGCACGTCAATGACGAAGGTTAGTATTCGTACGAAACGGTGAGATAGCTAGAAGTTTCAGTAAGCCATAAGTTGTCGTGGTCGCTTCAAAGTGAATAACATATTAGCAAGTAAGGTAGCCATTTGATATTCGTCGTCTGTGATTATTTTCAGCCCCCCCCATTGATTCTGCTTATCATATGTAAATATGCGTCATCCCTTTGGATGTACTGCATTCGTGATTTTCCATATCTACTGAGTACAGTTAAAAGATAATTACGAGAACTGCCCTGATGTAGTCACAGCTAGGAAGGCTTCGCTAATACGGGTTAAAGTAAAACGTTTCATCGAAAAGATTCATTGACGCCAGTCACTCTTCATAGCAATCTATGTGAAAAAGCATCAACTTCTTTGATCAGATAAAGAAACAAAACCGTGTTTGCTCGCATAAAGGTCTACGGTTCACCAGCCACCTCCCATCCAGACCTTAACCCCGTCATAAAATAGTTAATCCGCGCATGAATCAAGGAATATTCTGCGCATGATTTTTCCAACATGTTTTGTTGAAAATCGCTTACAAACCATGCTTGTTATCGTTGAAAATCTACTGTCCCAGGAGGAAGCTCTACAATATTGGTAGAGTGAATCAGATTTTGGTACCAGATCAAGAAAAAGTAGATGTAAGGCTCGGTTGAATATATGCATGATGCGACAAGTAACCATACAGCACAGAGCTGAGAGCGTCGGCATAACAGCAGTTCAGTTGTAGCATAGGTCGTTTTATAAATCAGGTCCGGAGCTAGGAGCGGCTGCACTCCGGTGCTGTATTGCTAACTGTCCAATGGCGCAAATTGCTTTGTCGGCAGGGGTGAGATGGGGCACAGAGGCACGACGATCGCAGGGCACACTGAGCCGTTTAGCTGCGAGAAGTAAACGTTAGCAAACACCATGGCCACAATCGACCTGTCATGTGTGGATCGTAGGGCAAGACCAAGGGAACGCACGCCGTTCGGTTGCGAGTACTGAACGTTAGCCAGACACCACAGGCGCAGTGCACGCGTCATTCCTGGACCGCAGGGCAAGACAAAGGGAACCCACGCCGTTCGGCTATGAGAACTGAACGTGAGCCAGACATCACAGCCGCACTGAACGTGTCATGCTTCGATCGATCGATAGTCGGCCTTCACACATGTGAAAAAGCCAGCAAAAGGTTCCCTGCGAAGTGGTTAGTGGGTCGCTATGCTAGCAATTGAGAAAAACAGCCTGGCCGTATGTGATGACCGGTCGATGGGCGCCACATTGCTATCGCCACAAAAACTGTTATCGCCTTATGACTGGCTTCCAACTAACTTGTAAGCTTTTATTAGGCTGCTTTTGCTGCTAAAGGGAATCATACTGCCACGAGCACATTGTAAGGTTACAGTGTTGTTCGCTTTATCGTTTCGATCGCGCGTGTGTTACAAGTGAAAAGTCGCCCTTCATGGGTGCATAAAAACGAATTCCTGACTTGACTTGACGTGGCAATGCTCTTAGATTTCAGTCTGCCCCGACACACTGATGGCACCATTAGACAGCACACCAATTTAATCATGAATGCAACTATTGCGCTCAGGGTCAGACAATTGCTAGTTTTACAAATTGATCAGGCTTTCTATGGTGTTTCTCGTGCACAATAGAGGATATACATTTATTCATTTATTCACCTATATTTACCTGAAATGTGTGAAATGTCGATAAATATCAACGAATTACATGTTTGCAAGCTCCAACAAAACGGACGGCCTCGCACCGTCACGGATAAAGTATCAACTTGCGCGGTTGCGCAAGAAGTATGCAGTGACAACCATCTCAGCATTTAGCAACTCGCACAACCTTGGGAAATCACCCCGTCTGCCGTGCATCGGATATGGAAGAAAAACATTCCGGCAGTGCAGTGCACTGCAGGTGTTGAACGCATGCGATTCACAGAAGCGCCTGGAATCCGCCCGTTTGTTTTAAACAGTCTGGACGTGCGTTCCATTTTGTTCACCGATGAGGCGGTGTTCCACCTGCATGGCGAAGATACGAAACATGTTTGGACAACAACCAACCAACGGCAAATAACGCTTCACGTGTGAAACATAGCTGCGCGGCCCATGGCCTGGACAGGGTTAACTGGGCGAAAAATCGTTGGGCTCTTTTTCTTTTCAAGGAGTGTGTCCGGGAGGGTGTTGTTTGACAGTATCAATGTGTGACATTCTTAGCATCCTCGTACATGGAAATGTTGTAGAGCAGCGGCATTCCACAGTTACAGTCGGAAGGGTTAATGAATAACGCTTGGCTGTAGCAGGATGGCGCACCTGCATATTCGGCGCAATTGCTTCGCGTTTACCTAAAACGAGACATTCGGTGGACGTTGGATCCGTCGCGGAGGACCGATAGAATGGCTTGCAGGATCATAGGATTTGAATCCATGGATTTTTCTATGGGGACACTTGAAGCACAGTCAATAGAATGAAACCTAAAAACCTGGATGAACTGAAAGAGAGCACTGTAAACCAATATAGGCAGATTTTTGTTGAAGACGTTGCAGAAAGTGCTCGCAAACACCATCCGGCGAATGCTCCTCTGTAGCTAAAACGATGATGGGCACTTCGAACATCCAATTCGTTGATATGTATCGACATTTCACACATTTCAGGTAAATATAGGTGAATAAATGAATAAATGTATATCCTCTATTGTGCACGAGAAACACCATAGAAAGCCTGATCAATTTGTAAAACTAGCAATTGTCTGACCCTGAGCGCAATAGTTGCATTCATGATTAAATTGGTGTGCTGTCTAATGGTGCCATCAGTGTGTCGGGGCAGACTGAAATCTAAGAGCATTGCCACGTCAAGTCAAGTCAAGAATTCGTTTTTATGCACCCATGAAGGGCGACTTTTCACTTGTAACACACGCGCGATCGAAACGATAAAGCGAACAACACTGTAACCTTACAATGTGCTCGTGGCAGTATGATTCCCTTTAGCAGCAAAAGCAGCCTAATAAAAGCTTACAAGTTAGTTGGAAGCCAGTCATAAGGCGATAACAGTTTTTGTGGCGATAGCAATGTGGCGCCCATCGACCGGTCATCACATACGGCCAGGCTGTTTTTCTCAATTGCTAGCATAGCGACCCACTAACCACTTCGCAGGGAACCTTTTGCTGGCTTTTTCACATGTGTGAAGGCCGACTATCGATCGATCGAAGCATGACACGTTCATTGCGGCTGTGATGTCTGGCTCACGTTCAGTTCTCATAGCCGAACGGCGTGGGTTCCCTTTGTCTTGCCCTGCGGTCCAGGAATGATGCGTGCACTGCGCCTGTGGTGTCTGGCTAACGTTCAGTACTAGCAACCGAACGGCGTGCGTTCCCTTGGTCTTGCCCTACGATCCACACATGACAGGTCGATTGTGGCCATGGTGTTTGCTAACGTTTACTTCTCGCAGCTAAACGGCTCAGTGTGCCCTGCGATCGTCGTGCCTCTGTGCCCCATCTCACCCCTGCCGACAAAGCAATTTGCGCCATTGGACAGTGAGCAATACAGCGTCCTGAGACACGTCAGCACCTGATTGCAGCCGCACCTAGCGTCGAAGATGATGAATAAAACACCCTGTACATTATCCGGTCCACCGTTTTAACAAGACAGCATCTGAAGATTTTGTTCCTAGCTCGAAGGTTTTGGAACTCATTTGGTCCATTACAGAAGCGTGTGCCACTAGGCAATACTAGCTGGCATTGAATGTTAGTAAATGCAATGAGGAGACCGATAATATCCAGTAAATATGGTAGAAATTGAAACATAATCTGACGCATCGGCAGAAAGCAGGTTAGTTGAAAATCACTGTCCGGTACTGTCTGATGAACAAGAGATTACAGGTTTACATGTAGTGGTAAAAAATCGTTTGCGAGTGGCAGAACCAAAAACGTCAGGAAATGTATGCTTTTAAAGATTCTGGAGCGGGTAGAAAGCTATTATTATGAAAGGAAAGAGAGGTAGACTGTAGGACGCGCAAAAATGCATCTGAACGACCGTGTGCCACTAGCAAGCACCACTTAGATAGGGAACAAAAAGGATCACTCACAGGTCGTACTGCTCCTGCAAAGAATTTAACCTCGATGATGCAATCCGGAGTTTCGTCTCGAAATCTGTACGCAGTTGGACCATCTCGGATTCTTTCTTGGAGAGCAAAAATTTGGCCTCTTCAAGACTTGTTCTTAGACTTTCTAATTCAAACTGTTGCTCCAACCTACAAAAGTGAAAAATAGAACGCGTCCAGTGCTGGCGATGTACCTACAAACTAAAGAAGCTGGTATGACTGCAGTGTGAAGCACAATCAAGTAACCGAGAAAAATGTACGTTTAAATGGAAGCGAAAAAGAGGAACACAAAACAACAACCAGGAAAAGGTTGCTCAGTGATTAACGAATACCTTTAAAGCCTCCTGACATATTCAGTTGGAAGACACCGAGAAAGTATACTGACATCAGTCAAAGGTGTCTAGCGCAAAGAGCGGCCTGAGTGGCAGTGTCACTGGTTGCAATCCCAACGGGAGTGGTGCATATCGCTACGTAATTACCAGACGTGGAAATGGATGGAACACTGTCAATCTGCATGGATCTGAGCAGCTCTGCGATATTCGAATTTGATCATACAAGAGGAACTGTTTGAGGTAACAAACATGAGAATTAAAAAGTAATACCCAGCAGTGTCAGTCAAGACACGTATGAAGTTGCTGTAGTTAAGGGATTGAAATGTTGTGCAGCAAATAAACTAGTACCGAGGGCAACAATTGCCATCCGTGCAGAGAAAGGACGTGACACGTTGAAAAAAGACAGAGGTAATGGACAAACCTTCAATTAAAGAATGATTATAGCAAAAGATTTTTCACAAAATACAACCAAACGAGACCACCAAGGCAGATTCCTCAGTGGCTAGAAAGAAGCTAGCATGGAGCTTATACCTAAGGGCGAGTCTGCCACCATGAAAACAAAAAGATACACGATGACTGCTCTACACAAGTAAGTAAGTAAAAGCAATCTATTATTATCATCATCATATACTAAATAAATTGTATGGCGCATGCCAGCCCACCGACTAACGCGACGTGCACTGTTTGCGCGCCAAGGGTGCGGAGGGAAGAAGAGGGGTGGCCAAGCGATGACTTAGTCAAGTTGGTCTCGATTGGAGTCTCTCGGCTCCCTAGTTGGGGACCGAAGGACAATTAACACGTTTGGCTGGATACACTTGTTGACATGGCTAGGAGCCGACCTCAACGACGTATGTGCTGTGAGTTTCTTTGTCTCTCCCCCTCACACCACGACGTTATTTATTAGACATAATATAACTCTTTTTTGCAGCACAATAGTCAGCTGTTAGCTCTCCGGAGCGGTCCACCCGTTACTGGTGATTCAGCCGGCGTGACTGTGGTATGTATATTCTTTTCGTTAGTATTTCGGCACAATAGCTGAAGTATCTTCCCCTGTAGCTAACGTATATAATGGTGAGGAATTAAATCAAAAGCAACAAATTATATTATTATCCAGACAAGTAAACCATCTGTCCTTGAATGATTGGACGTGCACTGTACCACCAATTCGTAAAACCTCCCTTAGTTAACGGCAGCTGTCGCGCATTTTTGTCTACATGCCGCCGGATAAAGCGGCTTGCTGAATAAAGTTTAGTTGTCGACTACAATAAAGAGGAAAACACAGCCTAGCTCATTTGAGGGAACTGTTTCGCTTACGCTTATGAACTGGCCACAAATATTACAAATGTCAAGTTAATTTAAGCACCGACTGCTATCTCACTGGTTTTCGGTTTTTCATGTATCCGGTGGTTTAAATGACCCTGTTCAGCGAAAGTCCAGATACTTGCAAACAGGCATCTGTCTTCGATGGTGGCTAATTCATCGACTCCGTAGGACTGTTTCAATTGCTTCCTTCAACCGGTGTGGCACTCCTGAGTTTGAACAAACAAATTTTCGATCTTACGTCATATGTACAGCTTTTGTCCCAACACGATCATATCCGCCGAAGGGATACGTCATTAGATAAGAAGGCTTAGTCGACCCTTCAGTTGATTATCATTTCACACCAAAATGACGCTTATACTTCATGCAAAATCCTCGATCAGCACAATCAACGTGGCTAATACCATACTAACGTCAAATTACCATACGAAAAGCTGACGAGCAAAAAAATACACCACGCCTTGCCAATTATTTCTAGGCAAAGCATAAAATTACGACTCTCTTGAGAAAGCATCAACAGCCACTCTTAGGTGTCCATGACAAGTGTGCGTATGTTGGGAAGCATTCGGTGAACAAGCCTAGCTAAACAAGGTTGATATTTCTGATGGAATCCAAAATGCTTCCGATAAAGTGGCACCAATTGCAATTGACTCCAACTCAGATTTAAGTTCGAGTTTGGGTGGGTTAAAACGAGAGGAGGATTCCGTAAACTCTTCTTGAGTGTATTGTGAAATCATGAGAATACAAGAAATATACTGAAATCAGATTATTCCGCAGAAATGTTTGTTGTTCTTTATCTGTTGAAATCATGAGGTCTTGATGAATCTAAAATTAAGTAAACGGATCACATCTCCGTTAACCAACTACCCCCAAGGTAACCCGCTCAATTAAACCTAGCGTGAAGGACACGAGAAAAAAGAAGAGAAAGAGAAAATAATATCAATTAGGTAACTCATAACATCGATGCGCGAGCGGACCCAATAGAATAAAGCGGAAAGTTGAACGCAAAAGTCGCTCAATGGAGTAACAGCGGTAGGCGCAGACACTCGAGCCAAACTCAGATATCATGGCGGGAACAGACAACTAAGATAATTCTGGACCGATATCGCTCGTAAGTAAGCTTTCCCGAATTCTCCGACCATGCATATATAGTGAACATAATCAGTGATATAGGAAAGGTACCGTAAAGATGAACATGAAGAAAGTGAACAGATGCCAATACCTAACTGATCCATGCAGTAATTCGTGGGGCCCACTCAAGTTCCCGTTTGTCACACACACAAATCCAAAGGAAATATTTTGGGTGAGATCGCACGAAGGATAAGGATACACAGACATAGCAGCAGTAAAGATCTCGAAAAGATGGTAAATTAATCGTAACAAACAAGACCATAATAACAGAAAGTGCTTGAAACGCTAAGAATTGGAAGTCTGAATAGAGCCTAACAACTAGATCAACTGTCATGCCGACCTAGCCATAACGACTTTCCCAGTCTGAACAAACGGATAGTCTAGTTGGAACTGCTTCCCACAGACGGAAGATGGACGCTAACTACCAACGCGCTCAAACCCAAGAGAAGACGATACGCCTTCAACAAAGCACATTTACGACCCAGCAGCAGGCGACTATATGGTTGCACATCCTCGATTATATTCACCGAAGCTGATAAGTGAACTTTTACAATAGCTTGCGACGCCTAAGGCAAAGAATGGCGAGGGAATAGTGGAACATGTGGGTCCATATGAAAGCGAGTGTCCATGCCAAACGCGAATACGTCGACATATCATTATTATCGGGAGGTGAGAAGGACACTGTAACCATTGTGCCGCGATACCAAAAAAAGATATGCAAAAAGCGAGATATTGAATATTATAAAAAACAAAAAGGTAACACACTGCTTGGTAAGATAATCTATTTCCAGAGAGTATCGTGCTTAGAGGGAAAGATAAGCGGGATGAGGAGGGACAAAGAAAATCACAAGGCGGTTGAGGTCGGCCCTCAGCCGTGTCAACAAATGTACCCAAGCAAGTGTGCTCATCGTCTCCAGTTCTCAACCTGTCAGTCGGAAGACGTCAACTGAAGTGAGGGCCTTCATTCCTTTTGACCAAGTCACCGACTGGACTCCCACCGTTTCCTTCCATCCAGACCTCTGGTACGCAAACAACGCACGTTGTTGGAGTCGGTGTGTTGGCATGCGCAACACGCGACCCAGCCACCGGAGCCTGGTTCGTGAAATAACGGTACTGAGCGGTTTACTCACCCTTCCTGAACCAAATACACCAAGCCTAATACGCTGATTGCTCACGCGGAGCTCCCAACGAATACGAACTAAACTGCGAAGGCGGCAATAATCGAAAGTAACTAACTTCTTTATTTCTGTCGACTCGACGGGCCAGGTGGTGCAACCATACAGTATGATTGAACGGACGGCTGTGTTATAAACTCTCCCCTTCAGAGCGAGAGTGATGTTGCGCCGACCCCACAAATAGCGAAGAATGGCGAAAGCGCCTCGAGCTTTTCCTATGCGGTTTGTGACTCCCTCATCTATCCTACTAGAGCTGTTATAACTGCCTAGGTACATGAGTTTCTAGACGACTTCAAGCTGAGCCCACCAAGGGTCAGCGCAGGGGTGGGTCTCTGCAAAGTATGGAGAAGGACTTTGCATTTCGAGGGTGCAAAGCATAGACCGAAACGGCTGACAGTCAATGTTAATTTGTCTAGTGCTACTTGGCACGTTTGGGAGCTGCTGCAGATAAGGACAATGTCGTCGACGCACTCAAAGTCAAGAAGGTGATTATTTGGGAGCAGCTCCAGGCCATGCTGATAATGTCCAGTGAACGCAGTCTCCATAACTTCGTCGATGGAGAAGTTAAAAAGGAAACGTGACAGCGGTCATCCTTTTCAGACCGCTGGATACTGAACGGCGATGAGAGCTTGCCGCAAGCGGTCACTCCGCCTGAACTGTGCGCGTAAAACGCTCTTAAAACGTTTACGTATTTTTTAAGGCACAACTTTCATGAGTACAGAATCGCAAAGAGCACGTGGATCCGCTAAATCGAAGGCATCCTTGATGTCGAAAAATTCGACTACGATGGCTCGCCGATACATGTAGCGATGCTTCGACAAGTGAGGTAGTGTGAAGATGTGATCAATACATCCACGACTTCGACGAAACCCGGATTGCTCCCTACGAAGTTGGCTTTCACGGGTGCCAGCAATGCTATGAAGAACAAAGGTATCTTAGAGACAATTGTAGTGGTGTAGTCAGCAATCTAACAAATAGACATAGAGCTAAACATAACCATGGAAATCACTAAAATAAGTCAGGTTGAACACTGTATCAGCATCATGGCACATTAACGGAAGATGAGCAACACACTTCAGTTATTGTGCCGCAATATGAAAAACAACGGAGCATTTTTTTGTTATTTTTCACAAGTCATTTTTGTAATCTTTTTGTCGTTTTTAATCGTTAAGCATTAAGTAACCAAATCTGA